AGGAAACAATAAAAACTGCTGAGAAACACTGGAAATCAGAAAACACTTGTTAAACTAATTCTGCTGAAGAGTGTACATCTCAGGTTGTCTTTAGGTCTTTTAACAAACAAACATAACTCTAGACTGAATCTAAGTTGAATCATTTCTGAAAATCAAAACTGTCAAGACAGAAAGCTGGAAACATGAGAAGTTCTGGGTGAATGACAGATCTGTGTCACCCTTGGTAAACCCAACCTGCACTCCCTAGGAAACAGAGAATTGACTGTATTTTCTGTGGACTTTGGACAATAGGTTTCCCACCTATGTTCACTCTGTTTAAGACCCTTGATGAATAGTCCTTCAAAGTCATTTCTGAAGCTTTTTTTTCCTTTTGTCCAAGGACTTCAGACTGGGAGCTCATGAAGGCTGATCTTTAGTTCTACGGATTACTCTGTTATCAGCTTCCAGCTCAGACTCCTAGGATCACAGTGCAACTCTCTGCTTGAAGAGCCATAAAATTGGGGTGTCACCATTGCACAGTTTAGTGACTTCTAACATTTGTCATGACACTGATTGCAAAAGTATTCTAACTCACTGAATTTTTGGAATAAAAAGTGGCCACTGTATCTATATGCATACTACATAGAAGTTGTCTAGACAAATTAAAATTTTCACATGTTCTTCCTAATACTTTCCTCCACATTCATGACTGTGGAGGAAATTTTTTTAGAATTTAATAGAATTTAATAATTCTATTAAAATTGCAAGTTTCCAATTTTCTTATATTTTCTTTTTAGGCCTTCTGAGGAATTATTTTTCCTAGAGCACAAAAAAGGCCACATCATATCATTTCCACACCACTCTGTTATTTGCTTGATGTATCTACTGAGACACTTTTTAACCAGAAAAACAAAATGTACTCCTGGATCTTCTCACATGTAGCAATGTTAGGGCTACTCTGAACAGGTTGATTAGTTTCGTATGTAACAAAAAATAATGCTGAATTCAACTGTACTAATAACATTTCTTGTTAATGAATATTTCCTGAAAAGCTAAAATTTGTTATTTGCCAATAGATTCTAGTTTAACTTCCATTTTTGGACAATATGTTTAATACATCTTTTTAAATCTCTACTCAAGAAATGATAATGAGTACTTTTAAGTAACTGCTAATAAATTAGAAATATAAATCTTCAAAATACATAAGAAATAACAGACCTCACTATATTATTCTAATTAAAGTAAGTTTCATCAAAGAATATATAAAATTCTGAACAGGGAAATTATATATTTGTTTATTTATTTCTCCATTTGAAGAGATGATCCAAATTTACTTATGTAAAAACTCGTCATCACTGATGACACACAGAAATAGCCATTTTTCTATTCATCAAAAGTGATTCATCAAACATATTAAAGATGTTTCTTTTAACTCAATTCATTTAAATTTTTGCCTTAAGTTCATGGATTTTAAGCTTCCCCCTCACCTTTTTACACTATATTCATCGTTTTTAACCACAAACTCAGACTGATAATTGAAAACTCAAATTCCCATATTTTGGTTGATTCTCAAGGACAAAGACTGATAACATATTAGATCAACAGGTAAGGCCTACAAAAAGTAAGACAAGATCAAGGAAAATAAAATACAGTCAATATGCAGTTATCTGATCAACCCATTTATGTGTGTGTGTGTGTGTGTGCGTGTGTGTGTGTGTGCATGTGTATATATATATATATATATATATATATATATATATATATATATAGGTCTTGCTATATCAAGACCTTTTTTCCTGCTTCTTTTTCTATCCCTCAAAAAAGTCTTAGTCCTCTCAGGACTTTCTGTATAAATACTTTGCTCTCCACTTCATTTTGTTGAACTTATTTCATGAATGTAGATATTAAATACTTTAAGTTTTACGATCTGTTTTAGTTAGGTAGCTTTTTTTTTTTTTTTTTTTTGCAAAAAAATAAAAAATCCAACATAGATCGGAAAAAAAAGGGGGGGTGGGCAGGGGATGTGTTGACTCATATACATGGCCAGTTCAGTTGGTTCAGCTTCAGACAAAGCTTTAGGGCTTGGATGATGTGGAGAAGATTTTCTATTCCCTCTCCCCCCATTATTCACTTGTACCTTCCTTGTGTTGGTCCATTTTCAGGTAGGCTATACTCTCAAGGTTCCAAAGAAGTTACCAAAAGGCTAAAGGCTTTTTCTTTCAGCTATACTGTTAAAGTGAGTCATTGCTCAAATAAATTCCAGAAATCAAGTCTTGGCACTGTTTGGCCAAGATCATCCTGTGATATGCCAATAGACTTGAGCTAATGAGGATCTATTTCTAGAGCCTGGGATGTGGCCAAACATATTCACACTACTGGGAAGTGTTGGCAACCATTCCAAAAGTGGGGGGTAGCAAATAGATGTTAAAATTCCACTATACTCTTTCCTGGATGATAAAGAATTTGGATTTGTTCTATACAAAGGATTAAATGGGTATAATAAATAATTAGTTGATTTGTACACATATTTTTAATGTACTCCTGCCTAAATTCTCTGTGAAAATTTTCCTACATTGAGGCTCAAGAAAAAGAAAATTCCACAATAAGATATAACTATGTTTTAAATTATTTTTTATTCTATAAACTATAAGCATTGCTCTTATTGCTCCAAAATATAGCATTTCATTCTATATCCTGTCCCATCCTGATATATATCAGAATGAGCAAATAATGTATTTATGTGTTTATGAGAAAATTTAAAAGTTAATTAATTTATTTTGGCTATCATAAGTATTATTATCCAAAACATTATGGGTAGAGGCTTGTTACCCTACAGTTAAGATTCATTTAAATTTAACAACTCAGAGTGCTCCATCACTATTTGGGAAATCTAAATGTAATACCCTGTACTTAAAAAGATGATGAAAGGAGTGCCTATTAAACATGAAACACCCACATCTACAGATTTTTCTAAAAACAATAATAGCTACTATATCCATGAGGAAAATTTGATATGGCATAATTCCTTACAAAAGCAGGCTTATCTTGTATTAAAAAAAAAAAAAAAGATTGTATTTATTTATTTGACAGAGAGAGATTACAAGTAGAGAGGCAGGCAAAGAGAGAGGGGGAAGCAGGCTCCCCACCAAGCAGAGAGCCCGATGTGGGGCTTGATCCCAGGACCTTAAGATCATGACCTAAGCTGAAGGCAGAAGCTTAACCCACTGAGACACCCAGGCGCCCCTCTTGTTACTTTTTTAAAAATGGAGTTGTAGGGGCACCTGGGTGGCTCAGTGGGTTAAAGCCTCTGCCTTTGGCTCAGGTCATGATCCCAGGGTCCTGGGATCCAGCTATGCATCCATCGCATCAGGCTCTCTGCTCCGCAGGGAGTCGGCTTCCTCCTCTCTCTCTCTGCCTGCCTCTCTGCCTAGTTGTGATTTCTCTCTGTCAAATAAATAAAATAAAAAAAAAAAATGGAGTTGTAAAACAGGTTTCAGTGCACATCTCATTTTTTCTTCTAAGCTTTATACATGTTGTAACTTACTGTAAAGATATAGCTACGGGGTGCCATTTTGCTTAGCTATGACATTATTAAACAGATATTTAACATACTGTGGAGGAAACTGATAAAGTTCTTTGGTTAGAAAGACAATTGCTAATATAACATTTTACAGTATGCAAAAGTACTGAGACATATATCATAACTTGATTCTCAGGTCAATCTGAGATACTAGGTTAGATAGCCTTCTGTAGATCCAGAAATAGCAGCTGTATGATGCTGTATGAGCAGTCATGGAGCCAGTATGTGGACTATCAGCTTACTGAGAGCAGGACAGTGGCTGAACCACATCAGGGGCTCTGAATATTTATTGAAGTAACCAGTTAATTAAATCTGGTATCTTAGAAGTCCAGAGTTTTCCCTACAACTAAAGTATTATTATAGCGTTCTTCACATATTTTAATAGAGTCCAAGATCAATTTGTAAGGCTCAAAATAAAAGACAATAAAACAAAACAAAACAAAACAAAAAGCTCCTCAAAGACTTCCTCTTTCCAGCTTTGAGGACTGAGGCTTATCAGTGTTTTCCATATATCCTAGTGGCTCAATCAATAATCAGTTTAGGAGGCACTCAACTGATTGGGCTTTGAAAAGTATGCGCACCTCTCTAACAGAGGGCAATCCTGTATGTATTCAGGTTTGGGGTTTCTTTTTAGGTGTCTTCAAAACATTTTTTTTTTTTAATGCTTTTGTTGTCAAGAGAAAAGCAGAAGAGATAAAATCTGGGTCGTTGAGCCTCCAGGTCTGGATGCAGAAACAAGAGTCCTCTGTTGAATTTTACAAGGACTAGATCCAAATTGAACAGTATGTAAAGAGAGTCTCTTCGTCAGGATTCTAATGCTGCCACTGGAGGCAGACGTAAGATGCAGCCTGTGGCTTGCACCCCACCACAGGCAGCTTAACTACTTCAGTTTTATCCAGTGTGTTCCAACAAGGCCAGACAAACCGCTCTGTGGTGCAAGAGGCATCTCTCAGGCGATGATGCGTAAAGACACAGGGATTTTTTAGTCAATCGCAGGAATTAGGCTTTAATGCTTTATACTAAAAGACTTCATACCCCAGATAGCTGACTGCTATCCACAGAATCTTGGCAGCCAAGCAGACTGCTGAAACTGAAACAAGGAAGCTCTGTTAAGCAGATTTTTGTGAATGTATAAAATGCTTTATTTGTAAAGCTGCTTTTCTTTGCTACAGTTTAAAATGCTTTCTGCTTCTCCCCTTTTTTTTAAATCTCTCAGTTTGATCAACTCTCAGTCTTTATCAAAATTACTTTCCAAAAATGTCCCTTAAAGAGCCACAGATGAGAAATAAATGCTCATCTCATCAAAAAATAAATGTGTTTCTTTCTTTCTTTCTTTCTTTTTTTTAAGGAATAATTCTAAACATATCAATTCAAGAGATTAAAAATGATCCCGGTCCTTACAAAAACTATACAATACACAGAAAGACATGAAATACTTTACCATTATTTGGAAGTTCTAGAGGGCTACAGACACCAGTTTTGGTTCTGCTGTTTGGAGAGGAGATCAGTTTCTCAACGAGAGATGCCGAGATGGGCTGAACTAGCAGAGACGTGAGGTTTGATCGGTTTTGTCTAAAGCTTCCATCTGGATCAAAAAGAGAAGGGAACAGAAACCTTAGCCATCAGAAACTAAAAACACTTCAAGAGACATTTTTTGTAATGAGTATTTAAAATATGGACCATATGCTTATTTGAGTTCATTTGTTTATTCGTAGTTATACTCTACTTATTAAAGATGATCTGAGGTACTTCAGTCCAAATACTATTATGTATCCTAGAGAATGATGGCAGATTGTACACACATCGCCTTCCATTCTCCTACAGGACTCCACTGGAATGACAACAAAGGAATAAAAGAGTGTAAATCCACAAGGGCTGACCAAGAGAAGGGACAATAGCAGTAAGATTCTAAAAGCCAGAGAGCAGATACCTAAGTGTCAACTGATGTAACAGACCCAAAGAGACCAAAACCTAAGCAAGCAGAGAGTAAGCTGAGAAGCAATGCAGTTTGTACCATAGAACCCAAAAGGCTTAGGAAATGGTCACAGCACCTACCTATTAAAATATGGGTAAAGGAGGGCACCTTGGTGGCTAACTTGGTCATGTGCCTGCCTTTGACTCAGGTCATGATCCCAGGGACCTGGGATCAAGTCCCACACTGGGGTGGGGGGGTGGGGAGGGAGTGTACCTTCTCAGCAGGGAGTCTGCTTCTCCCTGTATCTTTCCCTGCTGCTCGTGATCTCTCTCTCTCTCTCACTCTCTAATAAATAAATAAAACCTTAAAAAAAAATATATATATGGGTAAAGGCGGGGGGAAACAGGAGAATTTGATGAAATTCTGATTGTGAAGTTCTCCCTTCATGCCTTCAATCAGAGAGTGCCTATTCTTCCCCCTACTCCCTCAGAAAAGTGCAAGGGAATGCTTAATAGGGAGGGAGACACCAGACACAGTGAAGGTGGGGATATCTCATATTTAAAAAGGGATGGTCTTATAATTGCAGAGACTCATCAAATGTTTTACTGTCTTGGTGCCCAGAATCCTTCCTTCTAGGTAGGGCAATAGGACGTTCACTTGTAGTAAATATGACCAGGTCAATGAAGACTACATAAAAATACTGAAAATCTGGAAGATTACAATAAAACACCTCACCAGAGACATCCTATGTTAAAGTCCATCAATCAATAAACCTCATCATTATACAGAATTTAAAAATCAACCTAACTTTGCCATTCTCAAGTAGGCACCCTTAGCCAAGGACAATCCCAAAAGGGCACACATGCATCAGAGCTTATGAGGAGAAGAGTAAGGAGGTCAGGAGGCTCAGGGAGGGTCGTCTCCAGGAAGACAAGGAAAATGGAAAAACAAATGTGTGCTAATGTATTGAGAGAATATTTACAGTAGAGATCAGACAGTTAGCACCTGAGGAGCTTCTAAATACATAGAAAAATAAGAAATCTAACCAGTAGACAACCTTTAGCTTCAGAGGGAGCAGAAAGTTGTTCAAAAAAGAAATGTAATCATCATACAATGTGAATAATATTTACATAGTCGTAATAATATACATAATGACACACACACATACACATACACATACACACACACACACAAAATGATACTCTTGGGAAAAAAAAAAAAAAAGGGACAAGTCAGGGGTTGATGACCCTTGGAGACTTGTGAAAGCAAACTAAATCTTTATCATCCATAGTGGCAATAAATAAAACTGAAGAAATGAATTCAACTCATAAACATGCTTTTTGACATAGAGAGGTAAATATAATATGCAGGGAATGACTAAAACTACTGAAATAAATAGAGCATTTGCCTTTGGGAGAGAGAAGAAAGAGAAAATATAGGGAAGGAGCGGAGAAGATGAGATTTTTGTAAACTAGCTTTGTAGAATTATTTGAATAGATTCATCTCTAACTTGGAGAAAGACAAAAGTTAAATAAAAATAAGGAGAGAAAACTATGTAACAGAAGTAAAAGAAAAATCCCTAAGTACTCAGAGTAAAGAGGATCGAGAGAATAAGCCAAACTGTGCTTAAGAACTAAAAAAATACATATTCAGCTGATATATTTATACTGACTCAGAGAGGAAATACACAATGGAATAACTCTCTCAAGCAGCCAAAACGTCTGTGAACACAGAGCTTTATTTTTCAGAACTTTTATTAGGGAAAACGATTGCCGAAGGTTTTCTCAGAATTTAATTTGATAGGACTGCAGGGGGTGCAGAGCTCAACCAGACTGGTATCCAGGTTCCAGGAGGGAGATTATAAATAAGAAAATATGTTACAGAAGTGTTTTCTTAATTTATCATCTGGAAAACCACAAGGCTAAAAAAAAAAAAAAATGATATTTAGCTTGAGCCTATGGCAGCCATAGCAGTCATAGCTTGAAGAAAGAATAATAAAGATTTAAGCTCAGGATCAGTTCTGTTATGTAAGCACGGTGCTGGTTGAGTAATCCAGTAACCCCTTTTATATGGATATATGACAGTGCATTTTGACCACAGTGTAGTTCATTGCTTCCTAGCCATTTTCATGTCATAGGACCAAGAGTGGCTGTATAATTTGCAGGGCCCGGAGCAAAATGACAATGTGGGGTTTCCTGTTCAAAAAGAATTTTGAGACAGTAACAGCAGAGCATTTAATCAAGGGTGGCCCTTCTGAATGGGGGCCTGTGCAATGGTGGACATTGCATGCCCCCAAGCCAGGCCCTGCAGTGCTCACACAGCACAAGATGCTGTTCAGCTCACTGAGAAAAACTGAAGGGAATTTTCACACCTCAAAGAAGCTGTTGTCAGCCTCAGGTGACCAGCCCTGAGTCTCTGCTGCTCCAGGTTGCACCCGGAGCCATAGTGGTTAATATCTCACGGCATAGATGGTGTCCCTCAACACATCAGCTGCAAAGCTCCGATATACCCCTCTTACTCTGAGAAGATTGATTTTCTACTACAGAATGGATTTTCTCTGTCGGCCATTACCTACAGGAGCTCTAGTGTATATGGGACAGTGAGATAGTATTTATGAGAAATGTGCAATCTGTTATTTTGATCTTTTCATGGACATTAGGTCCTGATACATTACCACACAAAATGAAACTTCTTAAAATGCTGCATGATCTCACCCCTCCCCTGATCAAATGGAGGACTCTGGTTTGACATTCAAGGGTCTTCACAATCTCAGACCTTGTAGTGTGAAGGTTGTTTCCTATCGTTTGTCTCCATACACTTTATGCTAACACATAAGCTGTTCTCCCACATAGTCTGCGAAGTACGCCCTCCATGTTGTTGCAAAAGCCATCCCTTCCCTTTACTAGCTATTCGCATGCATCACACTGTCTGAACTTCACACTTCCTCCGAAACCCAGCTCAAAAGCCACTTTCTACACGAAGATTTCTCTGTTGCCCTCTTCTTACTATGTGATATTTCTGCGCTTTTTTGTAGTGTTTGTCGTTTCTAATTAACATTATCATTACATTTCATACTTATCATTTTATCACCTTGTTTCTCCTCTTTAAACTCTAAATTCCTTGAAGACGGGGCACCTGGGTGGCTCAGTGGGTTAAAGCCTCTGCCTCCGGCTCAGGTCATGATCTCATGTCCTGAGATCGAGCCCCACATCGGGCTCTCTGCTCAGCAGGGAGCCTGCTTCCTCTTCTCTCTCTCTCTCTCTCTGCCTGCCTCTCTGCCTACTTGTGATCTCTGTCTGTCAAATAAATAAATAATAAAATCTTTAAAAAAAAAAAATCTATCCCCATCAACTCACTGGTTAACTTGCTGTAACATTATCTTTTGTGTGAAAAAAAAAAATACTATCTCTATAATTAAAATAATCTGAGATGTATTTATCTGTTAATGAAATAATCAATAATTGCATTTTTTCTATAATTCTCTATCAGGCATATGAAACAATATATTTAAGAGTTAAATATGAGTGAACCCTAAACCCTAATTGAATGTATTTAAATCTTTGCCTTTTTTTTTTCTGAATGACTAATAGACTTGCATTAGTTTTGAAATATCTGAAGTGGTTCATTAATTTTTCACCTTCAGCTTAATGGAAGTTTGACAAACAGTTCACTTTTCAGAGCAGATAGTAAAAGGACTTTACAGTATACTAAGATTAAATTATGGCTAAATGTTATTTTTTAACTAATTTATTGAAAAAGAGCTGAGAATTTTATTTTCTTGCATTATTAAGAGGCTTTGAATAAGAGCAAATACATACACCATTTTTATTCATTTATATTTTAAAACACACTTATGAACTATAAGGTATGTGTTGAAAATCAGGCAGATTGTGTACCTGATGGAAAGGACACCATACAGAAAAGAAGTTGACATTACCTCTTAGCTCTGCAGCTTTTATTTTTATTTTTTTAAACATTTTATTGTTTTGAGAGAGAGCGGGAAAGAGAGAGAGAGATCATGGGGAGGGGGGCAGAGGGAAAGGGAAAAACAGACTCAGTGCTGAGCAGGGAGCAAGATATGGGACTCAATCCCAGGGCCCAAGAATCATGACCTGAACCGAAGGGAGACACTTAACCAACTGAGTGACCCAGGCACCACAGCACTTCAACTTTTAGATTATAACATAGATATCATGCCCTGTTCATTGTTTATGCCTACTAAAGACTGACAATAACTTTTTGTTTTTGTTTTTTTTAGTAGACAGTTCTCTCTTTATGTACTTGTTGCAATCCAAATAGAGATCCAGATCAATCCATGCCACCAATAATCCAATTCCCAGACACAAGACTACATGCATGTAGTGGAAAGAGGAAACAGGACATAGAGGCCCAAGTTTGACTTCCTCACTGACTCACTCTGTGAAATGTAATGTATAAACAATTTCACTCTACAGGATTTTCATCCCATCTACTATACTCGAATAACCAAGGTGACACTGAATAGCCTTCATTACTTGGACTTCATGAAATAAAAAGGCTATTTCCTTAGAGGCTGACAGCCTGAACCACAGTGGATGAAACTTAGAAGAAATGAGGTTAAAAAATAAGTCAGAAGTTTTCTAATTGCACATATTTATTAGGCTTTTCATTATGCTTTTTCAAATTGTTGA